ACTTCGAATCCTTTCCCTTTTTCTCGAGTTTTACCACGGAAGAGTTCCCGGAACCAGCCTGTGGCAGATGATACCGGGCCTGTCGGATCGGCAGGGCCAGTTTTTAATTTTCGCGTCGCGGAATGGGAAAGAGCAGGACCCCGGACGCGATAGTAAAAGTCTACCTCCCGGACAGCATAGTCAGTCCTTGAACGGCCCGGTTCGTCCATATCCGCATCCGACTCGTCCCTAGGAGTTGCAAGGTAGGCTGGGACAGGCGTTCTGCTCCCGGTGACGGGGGTACCGTCATTCGTATCAGCCCCTTCGCCATCCATATGACTGCCTGACCGTCGATTAGTCCAATCACCACTAGTCCACGAGGTGTGGGTGCGGCTGCTAGGCGACATTCCGTCTAAAGTGGCTCGCCGATGTCTCGGAGGCCGATAATAAGGACCGATGTTATCTGTATGCTTTACGCTAGCCAAAGCGCTGTGCGGCGATCCGCTGCCTCCCGAATGTTGGCCAGGGAATGTGGAATGTGAGATTCCTCCCGTAGTCGTAGGAGTGTACGGTCCGCTCCCGCTTCTCTGGTGATGATGGCCTCCTCCGTACAAACTACTCGCCTCGAAACCAGCGCTCACACGGTTCTCGGTAGCCGCAGAACGTTTTAACAAGAGTGCTGAACTGCCAGAAAAGCTCCGAGATCTGTCACCATCTACATGGCTTGACATTCTTCCTCCATCCGAGCCTAAGATCGGTACTTCTGAGGCCGCGCTGTGGCGAGGGACATGATGCGGCACTCGCGGAACTCTGCGAGAAAGCTGACGCATTCCAAAGACCTGTCGATAATATAATTAACGATATTAGCCCAATACATTGAGGGACATTATCCTAGCTGCCTTTGAGCATGTAAGGGTCACTTCGAACGAGATACACACCTTTACAAGGCCACCTCTTGCCGCCCCACCCTCCACTCCGCCCTCACCGCCAGCACCAGCAAGCCGAGCGAGTACCTCAACCAAGGTCTGAATAGCATTCAAAAAGAATCCAAAGACTAGAACCATCCCATGCAGGAGAAGGATGACGTAACCAATCCAGCCCCTTGCAGCGTGGCCGACACTTAGCGATGGAACGAAGACAACACTCAGAAGTATCGTGAGACAGCGGATGGTGGAGAAAATCGCATGATAGAGGTTCATAGATGTTGGCGACGGAAAGGGGCGGAATGCGGATAGCGTCAGGAGAAGGACAACTTCACAAATCGCTAGAAGCACAATCTGTGCAATCCCTGAAGGTTGGACGGCTCCGATCGCGATGCCACGAACGAACGTGAGAAGAACGGATACTACAGAGAAAGCTGCGGCACCATCGGAAAATGTATTATACAAAGAACCATAAAGGAGAACCGTCGGAAGGTCATCAAACATATATGAGCGTGGGCGCGTTCGCGTAATGAGAATTAAGAGCCAAGCAGCAAATCCAACCAGTCCAACAAGCAGCACAACCGCCAAAGCCACTGTAGAAATAGGGGATTGGCGAGTAGCTACTAGCTGGAACATAGATAATGATACAATTGGCAGCAGGAAATAGTTGAAGACGATGCGAATAACGTTGCCCATGGTGAACGGTAAATTTTTGGCGCGAAGGTCTTCCTCTGGTTCATGGGTGACTTGGTGATGTAGCCACCGTAGGCCGAATCCCAGCTGGATCATGAAAACGACACATGCAAGAATCACAAGAAGCCAAATTACCATCCCAGACCATATATCTTTGACCGACGACATGCCGATCAGGTGACTCATTCGGTCTAGTCCATAGGTTGCGTTGACAACATACATTCCGTCCTGATTAGGATTTGTGCCATTTCCATGGCTGACAAAGCTTCGGTTGAACATAAGGACAGACCATCCTGCCCTGCTTACAATCGGCTGATAGAATCCCGGGTAATTCAACGTTAAAGATCCGGTTAGAATCACAAATTGAATATACTGGAGACAGTCGGCGAATCCTGGGGTAACAAGTCGCAGCAAATCCTCGTCTCGTCCGTAATTGGAAGTCCAACGAAACAGATCCAAAGAACCCCATGGACTGAACATGGCTGCGGATATCGTCGCAATCGCCACTAGAATGAGAATGGCAAGGGTGATATATCTAAGGACGTCATTTAGTGTTGGTCCTAAGACAGGCGTAATTTCAGCAGATACACAAAGAATCTGAGACCGAGCAGCATCACCAGCTGTTGCTCTAAGTACGGGTGTTATGGCCGTGAAAGAATAGGAGGAGAATAAGTCATGGGCAACGGAAAAAGCTCGTAATTCGGGTGGAGTTCTATTCAGGAAAGTCAGTGTCAATGAAAATTTATGCAAGACAAATGTCAGGCGGAAAATAAGTATCGCTTCGTTGGAAGGAATTCATACCCATTTGAACCAAAAACAGGGCCTAGGGGACACTCTCCCTGGATCAAAGAATCACAAAATCGTTCAGCCGGGGCAACGTATGGAGAATAGCTGAGGACCTCGAATCTTGAAAAAAGCGTGGAGAACATATTATTCTTAACATCCACGTCAACGATCTTCCCAACGGTGCTATTTGGATCAGACCAGCTAGGAGAATCGGGAGGAGGATAGGGTTCTTGGGTTGCAATTCCAGTAACATTCCCATACACTGTCACATTCAGATTTCTGGCCTCCGAAGTGATGTCCAACACAGCCCAGACATACATCGGCTTGAACTGGAGCTGGAGAGGGTCTGAGTGGACGATGGACGGGGGGAGACAATTTTCAAAGTTGACGAACGCTCCATTGGCGCGGCGAGGCGTGAGAAGTGCGATGAATATTGATATCAAGAATATTATCGAACGCCCATTCTGCCCTGCGATTCTTCCCCCTCGTCGTGGACGATTCCCTTTCCCGTAATCCTGGGGCACCATCCGCTTCTTAACACAGTGGTCCGCATTTGCGCATTGGTAGAGCTGTTCCCGCCCCCGTCTCTGTTTCCGCTTCAGTTCGAAGTTCCCGGCTATCGAGCATTTCTTCAAAGAACATAGGCAATATGGCGTATGATCGTCCGATACCGCAGCAACCCTCCCCATTACGGCCACCCAGAATAAACGAGGCAGCCTCCAAGTGGAGGACAGCCCTTCCTCCTACCTGGGCAATTATTCGATCCACAAACCCCGACAATATCCAAAACAAATATGCGCTTAATCAGAAGTTGCTTCCCCCACCGCAGGATAATGAAAAGTGCCTGTCAACCTTTAACGACGACGATGATCCTGCACCACGCCGCACGATAATACCAACTGGACGGAATGCAATCCTGCAATGGCTTACGGGTTGTGGAATTGGAGGGGTGAAGGAGGTAGACGGGTGGATGAAGGGCTCGTTGAGTAGAGCGTCGAAAACGATTATACGGGTTGAAGCATGCTGCTGTCCGGCAACCTCCTCGGGGAATGAATAGATGGTTCAAAGATTAGTAATAGGTAGCGATGGAAAATTTTCAAATAATTTTTTTATTCTCTTGTCTTTTTTGATCTTTTCAGCGACCGTTATCAAAATATCGAGGCATAAGAGAAATGTGATGACCGGGCAAAACAAGAAGATTGACATGACAGTCAGGCAAAACAATAATAATCATGGTGCCGGCGGACCCAGGATTGCGCTAAACTGGGAAACGAGCCGGAGCCTATCACCATTGAGAGATATGGGCTTCTGTCGCCCCTATCACCATATCGCCAGCCTGTGCGTGTTGGATTTCAAATAGCAGCGAGCAGCATCAGGAATACATAGCTATGATAACCCAGCTTCTACGTGTTTCCCTTACTCTGGAAAAAACGTCCAACAATGAGCATTCAGTCTACGCCGTTGTGAACGTTGCGAAAGCTCCCTCCACGTTCTGGTTGGAATTGGGGCGGCGTAAGAACCTTAACATCCTTCAGGCTTCAACTCTCTCGCTCCTTGTTCCCTAAACTCTCAAGTCAATACGAGAATGCGCCACGATCAAATATGCAGCGGCCGTCGTGGTCAATAAGACAACAATTCATCCTTGCCAATACCAGCTAATGATTTTGAGGCTCTTTTTCGTTTCCGTCCACAGCATGCTCGTCTCACCAATGTCTTCGCAGAGATCCCGATCACATCAGCCAGTTTCGTTATCAACCAATGTCAGGCCACTCTGGTGGGGCACAGCCACTCGATTTTGGTCAGTTTTGTGTGTTGGTGATCCCCGATCGGCTTATCGACCCGCTGAGATCCTGGTGAATGAGTATTCCTCATCGCTGACAGAACTTACGCTGCATCATAATAACTATCAGCAAAATTTGCCTAGTTAGTTACCCATGGCTTGACAGGTCTGCGTATCCATTTACATACGCAGTAAACCAATTGTTGACCAGTTATTTTCCATGCGTAAAAAGCCAAATCCAACGCCACTCAGAAAAGTTCCTGGTGGCTGCTTGCAATAGCCCCATGGGCCACAGTTCTTTTTTTAGGTGTCGTGTTCAACTTTTTGGCATCTTGGCCCCTGAGGGAACCGCCAAAAGTAATCCACGTACTTACTCTGCGCTGCTCGCAGGGCTTCCACGGCCAGGCGCATCGAAAACATCAAAGGAGCCAGGAGTTTACCTCTGATGCTGTTGACCCTGGTCTCCTGGAGGTTGATTTGACTCATCCCGCCAAATTCGTCGACTGTCACAATGTCCAGCTTTTCTGAGATTTCGGTACAGACTACACTCGACGGAGACTAGTTCCATACATGAGCGGCAATACAATGGTTTGTTGCCAACCGACTTTGTGGATATTGCACAGGTTCAAACATCATATCTCCCCAATTAATTCATGGCCGGTATAACACCTGCCTGCTTCATTAACTAGTATTGACAAGAATCCCTCACAGCCTTTGTCCTAAAGCTTGCTGACAATTCAAGGGTTTAAATGATGACCAGGTTGACCTTGGACAGGTATACTCAGGTGTCTTCGTGCTCTCGAATCGTTTCATTCGATATGATTTCGATGATGACTTTGCTTTTCAATTGAAAAAGGGACGCATGCTCAATTCTTCACAATCACGAGATTAGCCTTCAGGAGCCGAATGTTTTCCCGATGAAAACCCTCCCTACGAGGGGTAAATTTAATTCTCGTTAAATGTGCGGGGTCAGTCAGGGACCATATCCTGGACTTGGTTTATAATTCCACCATCTTCGTCCAGTCGTGCCTGATGTATACCCAGGTTTCGTCGTCCCATTGCTCACCTTTTCGTCCACAACCGATCGTCACTACTTGACAGACGTCCCTTTCAATCACTGGGATGAGCTCCCATACCCAATCCATAGCGCATTTCTGTCAGCGCTTTGGTACGCTGAGCAGGCAGCCGACCTCAGTATCTGCTCTGCTATAGACTGAGGGCTTCATGTTCCGCAGGTACGGAGTACATCATGTACTGTGCTTGACTGTACAAACAACTTACAATGTATTCTATTTATCCCTGTAAATAATGTCCCGCTTCATGGGCGGGATTTTGTGTTGAAACAAGAAAAGCATTCCAAAAACCTGCAGAAAATAGTTTTAAAACTCTTAATGCGAAGTCCTTATGAACATATGGCTCAAATGAACATGAAATCCTCATCATGTCCCGCTCAATTAGGATGACAACGCCCATCGTCGTAATATGACCTTCGCATAAATGTGCACTACTCGTCCCCAATTCGTAAATCTTCCCAGATTGAGTAACTATACGGCATTACGTTTCACATCAATTAATAATAATAATAATATTATTATCACCCATGGATCTTTCCAGAGAAAATTTTTGTCCTAGATCCTGCCGGTCATTTACATCCTTGAGCTGTGGACAACTCGACCATCATTCAAAGCATGTGACGGCAGAAGATTACCTTTTCGTCCACCATGCATTAAAGCGCTGGAGATTGAGATTTAATCGATTGGCCATATTTCAACTGGATGGACCCAGCCTCTTCGCCTGAGTTGGCCCCTAGCTCTCTTCCTCCTATTGATATCGGCATGGCGTGGCCTGGCCTGGCCGCTGTGATCTTGCAACCACCACGCGGATAAAACATGGCATCAGTTTGAACAGCCCAGGCCCAGCTCAATGCATATATTGCATGAATTGTCCGAGCTTTCCTTCAATTCGAGGCTAGCCTCACTTATCAGAATTCAAAAAGCTAATTTGACGAACATGAATATCCAGGTTCAAAACTAGTTCCTAACTAGCTAGGACAGTTTCAGAAGCTTTGAGGATGGGTCAGTTTGAGGTAAGTAAGGCTAACTACGGCGTACAACATAACGAACAATTTATCAACGCCATTTTTCAAAAAGCCCAGCAGCCATGCTTCCATTTAACCCCCTGAGAAACACATGACAAATTGAGAACATAACATTTCCAACTTCGCTGGCCACTTCATGAGTCAAGGGCTTTCCTGAACCTGGACAACGACTTTTGCTACAGGATGAAAACTTGGTGGGATGAAGCAATCATCATCATGCCCTACAGGTCACTCATCCACGGGCTAGATTAGATTAAGGTAATATCCCCCTCGCTCATCTTGGTTAGGATGGACTCGCTGTACCCGGCTAGTTTGATATATAAGCCTGAAGGAAGGCCCTCCTCGATATGATGTGCGAGTTTGAATTTCCTCAAAAGATTTTTGGATTTCAACATTCCTGCCCACCCAGAAAAATGGTTGACCTTGTTTGTCTACATGCTACGTAGACGGATAGCCCTAAATTCTCGAGGGCCTCGAACTGGGGGGTTATATGATACCCCATTCCACCAAAATGTCATGTCCCTTCCGCCCAGTTCGACCTGTCAGAATCCGTTGGTTTGCTGCTCCCAATGATACTCATTGAGCCGGAGTCAGACCAGAGCCTGTAAAATCAGCTGTTATGTCATCTTTGACATAACCCTGAGAGCCACGTGTTCATTGAGATACACAGTGATCACTATTCTTTAGAATCTCGTGCTGGGTTTGACTGAGGAATTTTTTTTGTTAAATGCTACAGATTCCCTGATTAGAGGGAACGAGACTGAAGACTCTGATTTTTGATACTGTTTAGAGTATTCGCTGGAGCTATTTTCAATCATCGGAATACATGCAGACGTTTTGGATATGGCGTGTTTGACCAATGAACTGTTCATTTCTGCCCTTTACAATAGAGCGCCATTGGGATCACATTCACGGTTCTTGGGAATCGGGCGCTCTACGGCCATACTTCTCAATGCGTGAAATTTCATATTGACGGAAAGGGTGTTCTCAGCCATTGTCCTCTCCGTAGTGGAGATTCTGATGTTCATGCATGAAAGGCATTATGGATCCTGCCTCTCTCCCCATCCTTCCAACGCGTTCTCATCCTCTGCTATGGGGTTGTTCTATTCTGCTTTACCCTGACGAAGAGAAAACAACAGATATCGCATCACAACACAGACACCCACTGGTACCCGCCCCTAAGCTCTACACAGCTCTCAAAAATAAGACGCACACATAATCTGTTCCATAGTCCCCGAAATAACACTCAATCATGAAAGTGCATGTCAATGTCAGCAGCAGCAGCAGCAAGGATCATGGTACAAGCACAAGGTAAACGACATATGACAGAGCAACGACGGTAGCCAAAGGACTGCCGGCCTGGACAGGGAAATTGACGAAATGGTTTTGTAGAAGACTGAGATTTTCACGGAGACACCATGACCGTGTATGCCGTGGCAAGCGATTGTACGCAGTATATCAAAGAAAGGTTAGCAGATTTAAAGTTTGGTAGGTTGTTAATTTCTCCGGTTGTTATAGATGTGGTTCTTCATCCCAAGTTGGGATCGAACAATCTTACAAGCTTTTAAACGCTTGCACAAAAAGAGCTCTGCATACTGTGGGAATATAAGAGGTAAAAGTTTTGTGGTAGAAGCGACCGGAGGCGGTCGGTAATTAAAGGGGGGCAGGGCAGGGCACACAAGAGTATGTATGCTAGAATAAATGCCCGATGCCAGGCAGAATTTATATTAATGATGGTGATCAACCAGGCCCCTCCCTGGGCAGGTTCTTAGACGTATACAACATCGACGTATCTGTGATGAAAACAATTACTCCATTCGGGTAACAGCAGATACAAACGCAGACGAAGTATACGGCGTAAGTGCTCTCAAGACTACAGAATGTCGTATGGAGGATTGAGTGGTTGAAACTAAAACTTGAACTTAAAAAAACCTTCATATAGCGGCAACAAGGATCATTTTCGTGCCAAGGGAAGGGAGCGCCAGAGAATAGGATGCCTGCACACCTCAGCCCTGGGAGGAAAAGTGAACCCCGAAGAAGGCGTTGGAGCATACCCTGGGCAGAGGTGGTTGAAGATACGCTGCGTACACCATCACTTGCTAAGAGGTCTTGATTCCTCGGCAGCTGCGGGCAAACATCAGTGGCAGCCAGTCCACAACCGGCCCCGAACATCCAGCACCCTCCCTTCCGCTTAATTAAAGGCTAGGGCTGACCAAGGCCCGTGGCAACGCAGGCTGCCCCGCCGCCACGGCCAATCGCAGGCGACACCCAGCCCCGTCCCCCGCCTTGCCTGGTATCCCCAGACAGCCTGCCAAGAACCTGAGAAACAGAGCCACGCAGTCAACAAACACAGAAGACACACTCAAGCCCTCACGACCTCACGCATTTCAACTCTGACCCAGACACGGTGTTGCATCCATTGATTGACTGCTACCTCACACTTCCCTCTTTCTCTTTCTTTCTCTGACTCTGTCTCTCTGTTGGTATTTCTTCTTGTATCTCTTCTTCACACGAGCCACTTCATTAGGCCCCTTGTCGATCTTCTTCGGCGGTAATTTTACTGTTTCATCCACACCCGCGTTGCACGTGAGAGCCTGCTTACGGATCCCCGACTCGTTTGACACCCACACGTCCTGCGAACAACTGTCCCTGACTTGTCGCTTTGTGTCGACCGCTGTTGGCGTCTCCTGCTCCGTCCGATGTTTGCTTATCCACATCCAATTCTGCCTGTAGGTGTCTGTGTTGTGGTTGCTACTGCTGCTGCTCCTCCTGCTACTGCCGTTATCCTCCCCGCCGCTCCCCTCGTTGTCGAGCATGGTCGTTGAATCTCCACAGAATGGCTCTCTTGCCGGAGCTGCTGAATCCAAAGCCCGCAAATGGCGCGGCAAATTGTTCGCCAAAGACAAGACCCCAAAGGCATCTATCGATGAGCAGGTCTATGATTTCCTAGGTTCCCACCGCTCTCCGCTCCAATCGTCCCGACCATCCATTTCGTCTTCCGCCTCCGCTCCACAAGTCCCCGCCAAACCACCCCAACAATCCTGCCGCCTTGACCAACAACAACAACAACAACAACAACAACAACATCATCACCATCATCAACTACGCCAACAAGCAGAGCAACGGCGCTCGCCATCATATCACTCTCTTCATCACCCACATCAAAAATCACCAACAGGTACCCCGGTTGCTCCCCGTCTCAATCTTGCCGTTTCGCAGCGATGGCCCGAAGCTGGCGACATCTCCAGCCGATCTCCCTCTCGTCCCTCCATTGACGCTAAAACCGCAACTGGTGCGACTCCGATAAGCACCCAAGGGAAGAGGCGCCGTAACAAAGGTTTAAAGGTGACGTTTTCGAACGATGGTCCAGAGGTCATCGGGGAAGGGGGGGAAGAAGCTGATCTACCAACAAAGGATGTACTTCTCTATCGTTCGAGGTCGCACTCGTCCGCTTCCAATGCCGCAGATGGGTCACATTCCCAATTTGAGAATGCAGATCCATACGGTTCAACCTCGGACTCTACACATTGGCCTGGAGCCTATCCAGGACAAGGCTATCCTGCGGAGGATCGTCGGGAGAAGCTTAAAATGATGAAGAGTGCACACGAATTGGATTTCTTATTATCCCTGGAGCCACATAGTGCGAGAGGGGCTCGTCTATCATTGAGGGACTCTGGAGATCCGAATTCCTTTGCGCACCGCGTTCGGGCTAGGATGCGAGTTGAGGAAGGTTTAGCATTACAGAAAGCTACGCGAACTGATTCTCCTACGGATCCAGATGAGCTGGATTCTCAACCCTCTCAAGAAACCGTCCTCCCTCTCCGCCCGTCTGCTACGTCGAATCTATCACTGGACATGCCTCAAGAACCAGCCGCTGCTGCTAAATATGACTTTTGGGGAAGCGTCTTATCTGCTCTACCTAACAAAACCAAATCCAACTGGCAGGATACCAATGTATCGAACAGTCCTGTAAATACACACAATTCTCCCTGCTCGTATCCAGAAACCCCACCTCCACCTTATTTGAAATCTTCCTGCACAGAACCGGATTGTGAACCTGAAAAAGGACGACCGTCTCCCGAAAGTTCTTTCAATAATGATCCTCACCGAACTGAAAACCATTCTCCATTGAAGAAATCATGGAGGTCCGCTGCCAATGCCGTGAGCAATGACGCCCTGGCTGATTTTACTGCACGAGCTGCGCAATACAATGATATTTTTAGCGATGCTGCTGAGAGCGTTAAGCCATCTATGGAAACGTCTTTGTCCGAATGGATCAGGGCGAGCGTATGGTGGTTCTTAAAGGGCAGGTCCGATGTCGAAGCATCCATACGTCCTCAGCCCTCAAATGGTGGAGGGAATTCTCCGTCCGACGCTGATAGAACCTGTCAGGGAGTGCTCAATTTGGCCAAAACATGGTGGATTACTGAGCACATTGTTCCCGGTCATCCGGAGCTGTCCCGATTCGGAAATATGAGTCTAGACACTTTGATTGCGGTAACCGCAACTGCTGGCGATCAAAGGTTGAGCAGCTTAATGAGCGTTCGTCATGCAACTCTCAGCCATCTACGCGCGTTGGCGATATTGATGAAGCGAAATAATATCCTCCCAGCAGCCATGGAACATGTTCATCTCTCCCGGGGAATCGACACGACAATATGGGTCCGGTACCCTTTCTTTGCGCCTGACATTTCTGCAGTTCTCTCCGGCCAGGTAACGCGATCTATGCTCATGGATATAGCGAGAAAGACGACGGACATTAGCGACGTCATGCCATTGGGAGATTCCAGTCGTTATTTTTGTTATGGTAGGATGTTCGTAGAGGCATACCTAAGCTCGAGCGAAGATGATTCTCAACAATTTGCGATTCCGTGTGTTCTATCTATTATTCGAGATCGAAGTGACTGGAATGTACTCGTATCGATTACGAGCCAAAACGAACTTGTTAATATAATGATCCAGGGAGATAAGAAGCTTGGTCCCACATGGGCAGATGTAGACTGGCAGCTGAGAACTAACTCGATGCGGATTCGACTGCCTCGTGGTTTCGAATTGGATATCCAGTTTGATCAAGCGGACTTCAAAATGATTTGGAAAATTGTGGAATATACCCATAAAACCGAGGAAAACTTACAGCCAGAAGCTGGTGAAACGTTACTTTTCGAGGATGTCCTAAAAGTATTCCAATACGTGGACTCCGGTCCCAACAAAGCGTTCCCTGCTGAACCAAGCCCGCGATGTCGAATACGCCTGTTCGAGAAAGCCGTAACGCTAACGGAGGGGACCGGCACACGAAAAGCCCACAGAGGGTTCCGGTTTATGGCAGTGACAAGCCCCAAGGTAAAGACACTCAGCAGTATTTCCCACGAGCTCGGCAATGGGACACCCATTGTTTTTGGCTATCTACGAGGAGAGGATGGTGCTCCCGCGCTTCTCATCAAGATACCGCAAGAAGGTAGCGGCAGGAACCGCTCTATGTTGTTAACGTTCCACGAACAAGATCAGCGCGCCAAATTACACTCGCTACTCCTTGGCATCACTCCTTTGCAGGACGAGGTGAAGACGCCAGACCTTCCCATGCGGGCGTTCTCGATAGAACAGCTCCCGGATGGGAATGGCATCTCGAAACCCATTGTACATTTGCAATTCTCCTCGCCGTCTGCCACAGTGATTAATAATGGAGGCTCCTCTTTACAATCTACTCATGGATACAGTTCGACAGTGCTATCTGAGCATCTGCGTGTTTTCGTGACCTCAAATTGGGGATCGGCGACGGATAGAATTAATATTGGTATGTACTAAGCAGCATTTTTATGTAGTTATTTCTTTAGGTGGGAGTGCTGATATGAGATTCCTATCTCTAGGTCCTGGAGAGCTTAAGATTGCTCTCGATGTCACCATCCCCACCATTATGAGTATTCTTAGACCACCCCAACTGGATTTGGGTATTTCCGTGGCGGATAATTTGGTCCCCAAGGAAACCGTGGGCGGTATGACGAATCTTTTAAAGTTAGCCCAGACGAGTTCTGTGGTTCGGCGGTATAATTTTTCATCTGTGCAAGGTTGGTAAATATAGTTGAGGGGCCTTCGGTTTCACATTTCACTTTGGCGTGGTATTGACGTTTTCCCACGTTTCTAGATCTCCATAGATTCCAGAAAGCCATTACAAACTTTAAAGTTCTTTTCGACGGGTAAGCAGTAACTCCACCCGCTAAAAGCTCCACCTGCCCCAAACCTCCATGCTTAAAGCTTCCTAACTAACCGCAACCAATCAAAATAGCTTCGCGTCAGTATTCACAATCTCCCGAAGACGAATGGTCGTCCCCATCTACAAGAAATGGGAAGCGAGCAGAGTGCGTCTCCAAGTGCTGAGGCAGGAGAAAATCGTGCAGCTCGCCGCCTTCTTCCACGACGACTTCAGCCACGGCAAATGCATGAATTTCGTGCTGAAGAGCACGGACATCTTCGAGAGCTTCAACCACCGCTCCGGCAAGTTTGGTGTCAAGATCGTCGATGCCAAATTTGCCCTTCCCAAACAACCTGCCGACGATCCCACCGCGGGCTTTGTGTGTCTGGACATGCCGGAGTATCCGGGGGAGCATGATGATATTACTGTTGTTTTTGATTCGGAAAAGGGTAAGCGCTTTCGTTTATAGACATATACTACGGCGAATACTGCTACTATATCCTGTATGGCAATGGTCAACTAATACGTATTTCTTTTGATAATATAGATAGAGTCGAATTCCAAAACGTCATGCCCGGCTCGGTTAAGGAGCCGTCAAGGGTGGGATCGCTTCGGAAATAAATAAGCAAAGAAAAGAAGGCAAAAGGAAGGAATCAAATTATACCTGCCTAACCCCACTTCTTCCTCCACTATATTACTGCTACAGCTACCACTACCACCCCGCACTAATCTGTAGCCTACTTTTTTTTCTTCTTCTTTGGGTTTGGGGATCATGGGGCGTTATTTTTTCGTCATGATGGTAGGAGTTCGATGGGGTTTATATTATTTTGTCTGTCTGTCATTGTCTCCCCTCCCCCACCCCCCCCCCTCCTCCCTCCCCTTCCTTTCCCTCCTCTCTTGGTTTTCCTGAATATCGTTCTCCATTCGTTTCTCCCGCTTTGCTTAGCCTTTGCGCCAGGAATTGGATTAAAAAAGGCGTGCCTTTTTCTTTTCTTTTCTTTTCTTGTTTTTTTTTCCAGGAAGAACCCGATGTTTATTGGCCATATGTCCAGCGGTCTTCGTACTTGAGATTAGCTCTGGGCCCATCCAGTTTCTTTTTTCTCGCGCGCTATAATGTATTTCTATGTTTGCCTAGCAGAAACGGTTCCGTATTTTATAAAGCACTATTAGAATGAATGTGCCTGAGGAGGGAAGCACACTCAATACTACAATTATACTATTGAAATACTTGAAAGCGTTGACATAAGAATTAGCAGGACCAGCATTAACGGGTTCTGAAGCTACGGCAGTTCCTATCAATCGCAGAAAGCTAGAAATGATCTGGTGTACGACATTACGACTCAATCAACGTGACACTTGAACATCAGCTGAGCTTTCAAAGCACCCATAGATGATTTTACATTCTGATGATC